ACTGCAGGCTGCATATGTATGTGGCTTCTCATGTGATGCATCTTGACCCACCCGTTATATGAGTGGCGGCGCGTCCCTATCTTTGCATTCATCACCGGCAATCGATATTGGGCTTTATCAAATAGGAGATTCCTCACAGGGACAACGTAAAATCAATTGATCGCTATTCAAGCATATGACGCGCGCTCATCGAAACCCCTCTTTCTTAGTTCCAGATCCAGCTGACAGCCCTGATCCAGCCCTTTTCCTCAACCTCGGGCTCCTCTGGGTTCTGATCTACCTGCTCAAAGGCCGAATCCAGCGGCACGCTGTCGAGCGACACGAATCGCGTCTTCTTGAGCACCTTCCAGAGGAGGTAGGCTCCGGTGACGAGCGGGATATCCCTGCAGGCTGTTAGTCAGACATCCCAGGAGGGAAAATGGGACTCGAGTCATGGGCGCTTACAAGTACGAGGAGATGAAGCCGGCCGTGTCCCAGTTTCCCTTGGTGAAGACGGAGAATCCGCTCGTGAAGAGAATGGTGAGGCACATGGCGAACGCTGCGCACGACGTGTAGACTGTGTTGGGTCTGGTCAGCTCTCTATCTCTTGGGGGCGCCGTGGCGACAGAGGGGAGGGGGGTTTGCGTACAGGTCCATGCGTTGTGCCAGGGGAGCTTCTCGGCGGGGATGTTCTGCCTCTTCATGGCGAGCTTGAGGCGGATGTGGTTGAACAGGATGCTGGACCAGGACACGAGGACACCGGCTGAGGTCAGGTCGACGAACCACCAGAAGACGGTCATGGCGCCGTTGGACAGGCTCATGAAGCTGAGGAACATGAAAGCCGTGAACAGCAGGACGCAGACGTAGGGCGTGCCCCAGGAGGTGGTGCGCAGGAAGATCTTGGGGGCCTGGCCCTTGAGGGCGAGACTGTAGAGCACGCGGGTGCCGGAGAGCAGGCTCTGGTTCGAGGCCGACCAGGCCGAGGTGATGACGACGGCGTTGACGACGCTCGGGATGGCCTTGATGCCGGCGGCCGAGGCGGCGATGACAAAGGGGCTCTGGGCGGCGGTGCCGTAGGCGTCGTCGAGGCGCGGGTCGTTGCTGGGCACGAGCATGCCAACGACGAGGACGGCGAGCAGGTAGAAGAGGACGATGCGGATGAAGACGCGCTTGCAGGCGCGCGGGATGGCGCGGCGCGGGTTGCGCGTCTCGGCGGCCGCCATGGCGATCGACTCAGTGCCGGCAAAGGAGAAGACGGCCGTCGACATGACGCTCCAGTAGCCGAGGAACTTGCCCCAGTCGCCCTTGCCGATGTACTCAACAAAGGGGCCGGGATCTTTCCAGTAGCGGAAGCCGATCCGCTCGGTGCCAGGCACGCCGCCGAGGTCGATGACGAGACCGAGGATGATGAGGAAGATGACGAGGGCGATCTTGAGCAGCGCGAAGACGAACTCGACTTCACCGAAGACGCGCACAAAGGCGATGCCCACGAGGAACGTCAGCAGGATGAAGGTGACGATCCAAACGGTCGAGTTGACGTCGGTCCAGAACTGGAACAAGACGCAAATGGCCGTGATCTCGGCCGGGATGGACAAAAGGTTGCCGTAGACCAGGTTCCACCCGATGGCGAAGCCCCAGGCGGGGTCGACGAGGAACTCGGCATGTCGTACAAAGGCACCGGTGACCGGCAGAAGGGCTGCTACCTCTCCGAGGGCGAATTGCACGGCAAACACAACACAACCGATGGTGGCATAGCCAAGAAGCGCGCCGACGGGACCGCCCGTCTGGATGGCTCCACCGAGGCCGAGGAAGAGTCCCGTGCCGATGGCACCGGCGATACCCAGCATCGACAAGTGTCGCTGCTCGAGACCACGTCGCAGGTCGCGCTCCTCAGTCGACGTCAGCAAATCGCCATTGTGGTCAGCATCCCGGTCTCCCGTCTTGGAGTAGTTGGTCGCGACCTCAACATCGTCGTTGGGCGAGATAGCGTCTTTGGTCGCCATGGTATTCGTTGAGAAGGAGGTCGATGCCGTGTTCTGGGAGTGGACGGTGAGCTGTGAGACGCTGCGAGTGAGCCGTCTCACTTTGATCTTATACGTACAGGAAATTTTCGCTGGATGATACCATCGATAGACCGGTTCTATCGGCACGCAATCGGCGGCCCCGTCTTTCGCCTCACGGTGGGGAAGAAGCACGCGTGGCTCCGAGTCAGTCGACGGAAACGCCGCCGATCACGACATCCCAGCAGCAACGGCGATAAACCTGTTTATAGGATAGATTGTTGTCTTTCTCATTTCATCTCCTTTTTCGCCTTCTCCTCTGGCAGAATGTCACTCTTTTCGCTTTCTTCGAGAAGAGCAGAAGGGACTCGGGAGTGAGCCTCATGATGTGTCTGTGGGCTCATGATATTTTGCGACAGGACGCGGCGCATCGATTTTTATGTAAGACAAAGGACCTTATTTCAGAAACATCCACTCGTCCCCCACATGGTTACGGCTAGCTCGATACTGAAAATTGACATCGGAATGTGTGTGCATGACTTCGATTGCAGACCCGTCTGGTAGTTCCCTCTTTCCAGTTGATTGGGAACGGGAACGGTCAGTAGCTCAACAGAGTGGCCAGGGACCTTCATCACAATGCTTCACGCGAGACTTGCAACATCGCCGGGCCCACTTCACATGGCAATGCCTCTGGGCTATGACCTGGTGGATCAAGCAAACGATGTGGACTGCCCGTGCACCATGTTCCAATTGACCCTTCAGCTCAAGAGCTGCGGGAGGAGTATGTAAGGCAACCTGTCCACGCCTGGGTCTGACTCAACTAGCAGCTTGTTGTGCATCTTCAAATCTGGGGTAACGGTGAACTCGAATCTCAACCCTCAACTGCAGTGGAGATCGAGTGATAGACGTAACCCTCGAGTCACAAGGGCGACCTAGCTTCACGCCCGAAGGCCCACCAACCTGACGAGGACTCGCACCCGTGCCTCGTCAAGCCATGAGCTAGGAGAGCAGGCTTCTTCGACGATGTCGAGACGAAGTGGACAGCCCCCACAACCAATCTTGAGGATTCGAAGTCCTCCAAAATAAAGTCAGGGGGATGTCCTCCAGAAAGGTCTAAGAAAGGCAGCTGGAACACAAGTGTATCAGCAAGACTACGAAGACCCAACCACCAGGAAATGGGGGACGAAGCACAGGAAGACATCAGCAAGATTATGAATGGGCGAAGATGGAAGGGGCAAGGATATTGTTCATTGCGTGACACAACAAGACATCGAACGAGTGAGGGCTACCGGCCAAGTCTTGTCTCGATAAGCACACTTCCGCCTGTCTATTCCATACGGCACCAGAATGTGTAGAGAGTATGTCTGGTCACTGTCGCCAGGCTGTTATATAGGCGTGATCGGTGATTCGGATCATCGTAACCTGTTTGAGCGATGGCCACCGTCACGCTCTGTCAATCCAGGTGATCACCATGCGAACCACACAAGTCAGGCTTGACCCTTACGTCTAGTCCTGGCATATCCGTTTTCTCTGCCAAGCATGCTCCCCTGGACGGCCCGTGTGCCGTGTGCGGAGGAATGTGACCTGTGAGCGCTGGATCATCACAAGGCGCATGGTTGGCCACTAGGACGCCACAAGCCATGTTGGCTTCAGCCCTCAGAACTCCATCACGATCCTCACTAGCTATGGCCACAAGCACACAGGCGCAAAGGGGGAGCGGCGCACATTCGAGGCCGTGGACATGTGCAACGTGCACACTTTAGATGTGCAGGTGTGATAAACACTGGTCGGATCATTCCCTCGACGAGCGACTTCGTTCTTTTCTCGGTAATATCTCCTAGTTTTTGTGTCACCTTCTTTTGAACGTGCGAACCATGGCGGACACTTGTGGTCGCAAGTTCATCCATCCTCCCCGGCTACCTGTTAGTTGGAAAACGGCACACACCGCTAGCACGCCACTTGGCGCTCCTTCGACCAAAGAAGACGACGCTTTGATCGCCAAAGCGTGCAGCAAAACACCACAAACACCCAAGAACCGAAGCCGCTGAACTCTGAAAATGTGGGGAGGAACTACGCCCTGCGTTTTCCGTATAAAATCCCATGCCTACTACCGCCACAGGTGTGCTACGTCATGAACTATATGGGCTCATGGAGTCCCCAGGCGGTCGTTAGGGCGCTGTCTGATCATCTAGAATAGATATAGTATACAGCTTGGCACCCCCTTACCGCGCCTACCGACATACCTGTCCCTACTTGCTCAGCTCTCACAACGTCGATGCCATCACCGACATCTTTCGATCAAGTCGCCTGATCTGGGCATCACGAGCCTCAACACCGCTGCACTGGGGCGCCCACGAGTCCGACAACGCTCTGCATCCCTGACTCCGAAGGCAGCAGAGTAGCAGGTCAGAATGCGTCTTAGAGAGCTGCCAAAATGGATAACTCGGGGGCTCACGACCTTGTGCGCCGAGCACAGGGCGATATGCCGGCGAGCCTGATCGCTTTTGTGGTCGTAATGAGTTGCATATGTCTCACAATCGTCAGTTTGCGCTTCTACGTTCGCATACAAGTTATTCGAAATCTTGGCAACGATGACTGGGCCGTGGCTGTTACGATGGTTCGTTTTGCCTTTCCTCTCTTTGTACGCAGTAATTTCTGCGTCGCGATATTGCCGACTAACAGGCTTGCTTGCTAAGTTGATGCTGCTTGGGAGTGTCATTGGTGTTGCTATCGGTACGTTTGAAGACGAGTTTCGCTTCCATGCCTAGAATGGCTGTGCTGACCTGGATCCGACAGCTATCGCGTTTGGCCTCGGCCGTCACGTCGTCGACGTTTCCGACTCGCACCTATCTGTACTACTCACTGTCAGTCACTTCTTTGCGAATACAATACCCCTGACGGGCGGAGCTCGGCTGTCCCCCCCTCGAGCTCACGCTGAACGACCTGCCCATGATCTGACATGGCAACCCAATAGCTCATGTGGTTCTCTGGCCTGGGATATCACCTCACAATTATCATCCTCAAGTGCGCATTTATCCTCCAATACCGCCGCGCTTTTCCTCTCCCGGCTTTCCAGCGTATATGCGACATATTCCTCGGGTTCATAGCGTGCTGGTTCGTGGCCTTTTTCATCGCACCGATCGTGATCTGCCTGCCAGTCAGGAGCCAGTGGGATCCGGAAATCATCGGACAGGACTTTTGCTCTTCGCGATGGCAGGTATGGCTAGCCCACGGCATCATTCACGTCATCACGGACGTAGTCATCTTTGCCATGCCGCTCCCCCTGATCAAGACGCTGCCCTTGACGAAGCCCCAAAAGATCACGCTCACCGCCGTCTTCTGCCTGGGATTCATGTGAGTTAAACCATGGCACTCCAGGATACCAGATCCCGACTTGTGTATCCCCTGGCTCACTAGTTCTGACCGTCGTTCTCTCCCGTTCACAGTACCTGCATCATCTCGGCCATCCGCATCAGCACCGTCCACCGCGGCCTCTTTGACGCCGACGCCAGCTGGGTCATGGCCCGGACCGTCTACTGGTCCGTAGGCGAGATTACGTGCGCCATGCTGTGCCTCTGCATCCCCGTCTTGCGGCCGCTGCTCGGCGGCCGAGCGAACCTGCGCCGCTGGCGGAGCGGAGCACAGGCCGAGGTTGTGGAGACGCGGGGCCATGCGCACTTCACGCTCGATTCGACGCAGACATGGACGGCGCCGGCACCGTCTAATCGAACGGCCAGTCGCGGTTCTGTGCGGAGTTCACGAGATATCGAGATGAGGGAGAATACGCAGGACCGACGGCATGAGGCGGCGAAGCGCACGTCAGACCCTCCGACCACAGGGACAGAGTCCAGCGGGGCCGGTTCGACGTGGACATCGGATGACTCCCATAAAAGGGCCGATGGTAGTTGGCTGTGAAGAACTGTATTGAAGATAGAGTTCAGTCATCGTGGGTAACGATACAAAATACCAAAAACGCAATACTATCTTCGCCTGTTTAAGGATGCGATGGCGGGCTATCAAGCGCGGCGTCTTCGTCGAAAGTCATCGACTTGGCATGTACGAAGCGATCTCCTTAAATCGTTCAACGAAAGCGAGCTGACGTAGGCCAAAGACGTGAGTGGAAAGCGTCAGTCTGTCAACGACGGCGTGATGATAAACGCAAAACACTGGAACAAGGAGGGTGGGATAGCACAAATACAAGAGGAGACTAGATATACCCCAAGCAACCGTTCAAACATCTATTTCTAATGCTAATAAGCCCACGTTGGCTTGTAAACATCATCATCATCACCATCAATGCCTACGAACCCAGTACCAATCCTGCCCTTTCCTGTGCGCCCTGCCGCCAACAGAGCCATAAATCCCCTACCAATTGAGGGGATACTGATCAGGACGCAACCCGAAATACCCCTCTTCGGGCAGTGCCTTTAGCGAGGCGTTATTGTTGTAGAGTTGAAAGTCGACGCCGGCGCGCGGCACCTCGTTCCCCCACCAGGCGAATTGATACCCTTGGCCTGCCCCAAAGGAGAAGACGAGCGTGACGATGAGGCCCGACACGGCGACACCGACGCTGAGACCGGCGAAGATGAGGTAGGCATACTTGCCCCACCAGGCCGTGTAGCGTCGCTTGAGGTAGAACTGGAAGAACCAGGCAATGTAGATGCCGAGCGTCGCGTACGTGAGGTTGTTGTTGCCGGCCCAGCTGAGGGCGCCCGAGAGGGCGATGGCCGGGTTGAGGCACGCCATGATGGAGGAGGCGGGCGCCCAGAAGTAGCGGTCGAAGCGGGCAAAGGGCTCGGGCTCGACGCGGCGCTGGAGGCGGGCGCGCAGGAGTGGCAGGGTCCTCTCGCTGACGATCCAGGCGACGCCGAGGAGGGCGCCGATGAGGAAGCACCACGGCAGGACGGGGTAGAGCTTGAACATGTTGTTGGTGCCAAAGGCGCCGAAGAGGATGGTTGAGGACCAGATGGAGTGGGCGTAGGCGCAGACCATGTACTGCCTGTTGTCCCAGGTGCAGAAGCTGCTATCCTCGTTGGCGTAGAGCATGAGAAGCTCGAGGATGGCGCAGTAGATGAAGCAGTTGACGACGACGGACGAGACGTGGCCGCGAAACACGGCACGTGGGGGTATGCCGGCGTAATGCGCGTACTTGAGGTCGCCGCTGAAGCTGCCTGCCATCTGCTCAAAGGCGGCGCCTAGCATGAGGATGATGAGCTGCGGCAGCGGCTGGCCAGGGAACCAGACGCCAGGCAAGACTTGCCAAATGACGTTGAGCTGGATGCCGGTGCTGGCGATGGACTCGATGACAACCCAGGGGATGGTCAGCAGGGCACCAATGGCTGTCACGCCAAGGATCGACCACCACGGGGTCTGCGTCGGCCAGGCCGTGAGGCTGACGATGGAGACGATGAAGCCAAAGGCAAAGACGCAGCCGTACCACCATTCCGGCACCTCTTTGTACTTGCGCATCATTCTCGTGTGGCCGTCTGTGAAGCCCGTGTAGACGCTCCTGCGCTTCACTGTGTTGACAACCATGCCGACGAACGCCTTCTTGATGGGGCGCCAGTACTTGGTGAAGACGTAGACAATGGAAAAGGTGTAGTAAATGAAGTTGGCGCCCGTCACGAACAGGTTGGCGATGGCATAGTACGGTGGGCCGTACTCTTGGTACTTGTCCACGTCGAGGCGCTGGTTGTCATTGAGGACCTTGGAAATGTTATAGGCACTGCCAGTGTTGTCAAAGGCTGCATTTGAGTTGATGGCATGAAAGCGGCCCAAAAGGCGTTCTTGTAGTACATGATGAGGATAATGATGCCAGAGATGACACGCATCACATACTGTTGCAACTGGGCAAAAAAGGGGGCTGTCATGGCATCCATGCCGGACGCGTTCGGATCCCAGCTCGAGATCGGGTTGAAACCCATGCCGCCGTATGATCCGGTGATGGTGGCGAGATTGAAGTTGTTCGGCGCGATCCACGTCATCCAGTTGAAGAGACGCAGTCCGACGAAGAATTGGTTGGGGATCCAGTAGTAAATGGTGAAAATGATGCCACACCAGACGAACATTCTGTAGCGTGACAAGGTCCAGCCGTTGACCTTTTCGCGCTTATTGTCTTGGTTGATGAGCGTCCTGTTGAGAGCGAGCGTCGGCAGCGTCTTGGGCCACACGGCTTCGATGGGATAGACAGCTAGGCGCCGTAGGATACCGGCCATGCCGAGGCCGTATACCTGGTTCGCCAGCGCGAGCATGAGGTTGAAGCCGAAGCCGGCCCAGCGCTGGTTGAAGAAGACGGGCATACGAAGGACGAGAAGACCGGTGAAATTGCCGATGCTTGAGGCACCCGTGAAGATGATGGTCGCGAACAGCTGCTCCTTGCTCGTCCAAGGGCCTGGGTTCAACGTGTAGCGCGTGCCGCGGAACTTGAAGCCCCAGTCTGGAAGCAGCCAGGCCATACCTCGACCCATGGGCACCAGAAGGAGCTGTACGACGGAGCCGGGGATCGATATGCCCGGCTGACGAGGAGCAAAGACTTTCAAAATCATTGTGTTAGGCTCGTGTCATATAATGAATGCCCTGGACCTTGGAGTTCAGAGGTAGGAAGAGAACTTACAAGTGTTGACCGCTGTGCAGACACAGACCCAGAAGTAGCCCAGAACATAGGCGCGGAAGCTCTCACAGGCCTCGTCGGCATCGTCGTAGGGCAACGTGACGGCGCGAACTTCGGCGTAAGGGGACCAGTTGTGACACAGGCCGGCACGTTTGCAGACCTCGTACGCCCACTCGCCCTGCTCCATGTCGCAGGCCTTGTTGCCGCGGATGAGCTGGCGAAGACGCTCCATCATCTGGCGATCGATGGTGTAGTCCTCTTTCTGGCTGACGAGGAGATCCTCGAGGACCTGGACAGACTCGTCTTCGTTGAGGGTCAGAATGGCGGCCACCATGCGATCCGGATCGCAGCCGGCCGGCAGCGTCTCGCCCCCGTGCCGACCAGTATACTCGGCCTTGAGACGTTCGAACCAGCCCTCGGGGGGGAACTGGTCCTCGGCGTCGATTTCATTCTTTCTGTCATCGTGTGGCTCGATGTCGACGGTGTGGTCTGCCTTATCGTGCGGCAACCCGCTCACGCGATCATTGTCGGCTGACATGATGAGTTGCAAGGCAAAACAAAACAATGTGCCATGTCAATGGGCAACCGGGTCGAGGAGGGGACCCAGAGCCGGGCAATGGCTGAAGTATATACCAGGCCCCATGGGTACCCCATGCTGTCAACCAAGACGCCATCCACCCTGAATCCGCGCAGGCGTCCGTCACCTCTTGAGGCCGACATGCGGGGGAGGGGTACGATATCCAAGCACACGTTACACGCACTAGTGCTCGCCGGCAGGATTCTTGCGAGGCAATACAAGTCCGACGCAATGCTGATCGGTATGCTGCCACGACGAGGTGTATCGGACCAACCGCTCTCGAGACAGATCGACATGGGCGTTGCCTCCTCTTCTGGCCAAGCAGTCGTCCAACACTGGTCGCCATCTGCGTCTAAGTGCACCAGAGTGGGGGAACATGTGCTCCTTGAGGAATGGCGCGTGGCGTCCCCGCAAACGCCTCCCCTCCTCGGCAAGGAGGGACCATGTTCGCCTTCGGATAAGGTCGATGGGACTTTGGTTTCGTGTTGTGACCCTGAAGTTGGCTCGGCCATCTTCCCCGCCTCTTGCTTTAATGCCCGGGTTGAGCCGGCCCGGTGGAGTCGCCCCGTAAAATCAGGCCGCGAAGTTGAACTACCGCGAGGTTGTCAACTGAGGTCAATTATGGGAGATAAGAAGATGATTGTAGCATTGTCGACAAGATCTAGCTCTGTGCCTTCTTGAAGTTGTTGGTGAAGATTGGAGGTAACGGGACAACTTCAGAAGTGCAGCCATGGGTTCTTCATCCAATCCAAATGTGCCAAATCACGTGCTGGTCCTACCCTCAACTCGAGAAGTCGGCTTCATTCAATAGCAGTCAGTCTCTTATCCTTACCTTATCTCCGAATCGAACCGCATGACCATGGAAAGGATGACTGAATGGCGGCACTCTGCCTTGCCAGCACACAGCTCCGTGCGCAGCTCATGCATGCCTGCAGCCTGCTTGGTTCGTGGCGACCATGTCAGGCTACCTCATCCCCGCGATGGCACCGATCACAGCCTGACGCTTTCTCTTTTCACAAACCGACCATAAGCAGAACATCGAGCATTCCACTACAGTATATCATCATAACGCCCAAGGGTGTGCAGAAGAACCAGCATGAAGTTCTTGTGGGCTGTGCTGCTCACCACGCTCTGCGTTGCCGCCTCCCTGGCGCACTGCATCTACACCAAGCTGAAGAAGGCTCGTCGTCGGAGCGAGGATGCACGCCCGAATGGCCTCTACGTAATTTCCAACCCAAAGAACGCCAAGTTTGTGTTAGTGGCTCCCATGTTCTCCTACTTGGAAGAATGCCCGTTCTGACTGATCAAGTATCGTCGCCGTTCATGGCCTTGGTACACACCCTGAACGAACATGGGAAGCGTTGCCTCCTCGATCTAGAGATTCTACCGAAAAGACACAACCTGTCCATCTGTTGAGGCATTTTTTGAAGGAGGATTTCCCTGAAGCGAGAATTCTATTGCACGCACATAATTCCGACTGGATGATCAACGCACCCATCAAGACTGCGCGACAGATTGGCGAGCAGCTGATTGCCGAGCTTACGGAACATCTTTCAAAGCACTTGGTGTGAACAGCCTGATATACAGCACATCACGCGCCGTGGCTAACTGGAGCTCAGTGCTTGTCCATTGTGTTCATCGGCCACAGCTTCGGAGGCATCATCATCAAAGAGGTACAGTATCTGCATTCAAGACCGCTATTGTAAGCTAATGGCCTAGGCTCTATGCGCACACGGGGAGAGGTCATCCGATATAATTGACAACACCCATGCCATCGTATTCCTTGGAACTCCCCACCTAGGATCGCCGCTATCAGTCATTGGTGCCACCGTGACGGCTATGACCAGCGTGCTGGGTTCCAGTAACACACTTCTTCTCATGCTGGGGCAAAGAAACGATCAACTTTTGGATCTGGAGAGACGGTTCAACAGCTTGATCAAACTTAAAGATGCCCGGCGGGGCAAAACCGAGCTACTGGCTTTGCGCGAGGCCAAGCCTTTGACACTTGGCTGGCTCTCCTTTGGGTTGGTAAGTTTACCGACCATGCATTGACGACGAGTGTCCTCGACTGATGGAGTAACCACCTAGGTTGTCGATCGCGTCTCAGCCCTGGGTATACATGATCCAACAGAATACCTCATAGACACGGATCATTCTGGCCTGAATAAATGCCGGAACAAGTCCGACCCCCTTTACGTCGAACTCCAACGACAAGTGAAACGACTCATACCGTAAGAAATCCTACGCCCAAGCAAGATCTAAACACCATCTGACTGAGTAGCAATGCCACTCCCAAACTAAATGAAAGCCAGCTGTTCGTCAAAGAAAATCTTCCCTGCGTACCAGGGGCCGCATTCGACGATGCGGAGAACGGAGCTGAAGCGTGCCTTGCTGGCACGCGCATTGAACTTCTTGGCGATATCAGAGTATGGCTGCGCGATCCCGAATATGAGCCCCTCTGCTGGTTACACGGCAAGGCTGGCACCGGTAAATCAACAATTGCCCAGTCTGTCGCTCGGGAACTGGCTGCAGCGGGGTTTCTAGCTGCCAGTTTCTTTTTCAAAAGGGGCGAGGGTGATCGCGGCAATGCTCGCCGCTTCTTTCCGACCATCGCCGCCCAGCTCGTGAGCAGCTTTCCCGCGGCTGCTGCTCAGATGCGACATACGATTGAAGCGAATCCCGATATCGCGACCAAGTCACTGGGAGAACAGTTCAGGATGCTCGTTCTCAAGCCTTTGGAGAACGTCTCCGTCGCATCTCCAATGACTGTTGTTATCGATGCTCTGGATGAGTGCGGTGGAGAGAACGATGTCAAAGACCTGATCACCCAACTCTCACATATCAAGAAAATCACGTCAATCCCTCTGAACTTCTTCATTACAAGCAGGAACGAACCGCCAATTCGAGAAGGCTTCAAGAGCATCCAGTCAACAGTTGATGAGCTCAACCTGGAAGAGGTATCTGATCCCTCTATTGAGCAGGATATCGAACGCTTCTTGCTTTTCCGGTTAGAAGGTATTCGCAGTCTTGCACAATTGTCTCCTAGTTGGCCACAGGGCAAGGAGTTTGATCTCCTGTTCAAAATGTCTGTCCCATTGTTCATATACGCAGCGACTGCCTGTCGCTTCATCGAAGATAAACGCATCCCGGGCGGACCTGAAGGCCGACTGAGACGCTGGACGGAGCATATAGGAGGGTCGAGACTACATTATACCTACCGACCTATTCTGAAACAGTTAATCGACGGCCTCGACGAACCTGATAAAGAAGACATCGTCAACCAATTTCATGAGATTGTCGGCACTATTATCATATTAGCCGAGCCTCTCGACGCCATTTCACTCGAATGTCTCTTGTCTAAACCACGTCATTATTTTGATGGTTTGCTAGACTACTTGCATTCTGTGCTGGATATTCCACTCAGTCGTGTGCAGCGAATCAAACTATTTCACTTGTCTTTCCGCGACTATCTTGTCGACCCGAAGCGTGGCGCCCTTGAGTTTCACGTGGACGAAAAAGAAGCGCAAGGAAGGGTTGCAAGACACTGTCTTCGACTACTCTCTAATGGCCAGTCGCTGAGACAGGATATCTGCAGTCTCTCGCATCCTGGCACGCAACGAAGATATGTTCCACAGACAAAGATTGATGAGTGTCTGCCCCTGGCAGTCCAATATGCCTGCCTACACTGGGCGGATCACTTTATCCACAGCGAAGACTTGATTGACGATCAACACGCGGTCTACTCGTTTCTTTGCACCCACTTGCTTCATTGGTTAGAAGCGTTGAGTCTTTTGAAACGACTTGACAGAGGCGCCTCACAATTGCTTAAACTTCAAGTACGAACCACAGTAAGTCGCCATGCCTGGGCCTAGTTCAGGCTTGAAGCTGATGTCGATTGGCCAGTGCTTGCAAGCCAAGTCGTTCATGACAGACGCAGGCCAATTCATTGGGTACTTCAAATATGCGATCATGGAGACCCCGTTACAGCTGTATGCCTCCGGCCTTACCTTTGCGCCATTGTCTAGCATCGTCAGAAACACATTTTAAGCTCAACGTCCAAAATGGACGAGAGAGGTACGCCATATCAATACATCCTGGAGCAGGCAATTCCGAATATTCGAGGACGGGATAGCTGGCTCAGCCACGTTCACAGCGGACAATCATCTAGTTTTTGGCGCATTGGATGGTACAATCGTGGTGATGGACCCCGTCACATGGCATTGTCTTCAAGTCCTTGAAGGGCATCAAGGCATCGTCTGGCAGTGTGCCTTGGCGCCCAATGGAGCTTTCATCACATGTTCCCATGACAAGACCATCAAGATCTGGGACCTCCCCAGCGGAACGTGTCTGAAAACACTCTTAGGCCACAAGGATGCTGTCGTATCGATTGCGATCGCCGCAAACGATTTCGTAGCATCCAGGTCTTCAGATGGAACAGTCAAAGTGTGGCACACAACGACTGGGGAATGCTTGTGGACGTGTCCTATCAGTGCTGCCAAGGATGCTGACATTGCTCTCGCCTCAGACAATGGAAAGATTCGACTAGCTGTAGTTGACACTGAGGGGCACATCAGGGTTTTCGACCCGGCGACTAAGAGTTGCCTCCAGACTCTCAATGAAGTTCCTCGTATCATAGAAACCATGGCATTTGTCCTGACGAGTCGTCTTGAACTACTGGTGGCTACATACTCTCCGGGGACACTCGTAATCTTGGACTTGAATACTGGGGCTCGGGTGAATGAACAGGGCCAGTGGTGCATAGCTATCCGGCCAAAAGCTCTCCCAGATGGAAAGCCCTGTCAACAGGTGCTGCTGGTTCCGATGGGCAGACGCCACGCAACCTTGGAATTCTTGACGCGTCCAAGCAGCGTTGACACTGACATGAGTTCTAACAATCTCAAGAACTGGACTGACGGGGCAATGGAAGTCGTCGATGGCATTCCATCGATTGATAACATACGACGTTGCTGCGCACTTTCGAATGATGGAAGATGGTTATCGGCTGCCGGCTCAGAAACTTACTCGGTCCGTATGTATGATATGCAACTTGGTACTCTACTTCCTTCATTACTCAAGCTAAATCCAAGATCTAACGTACAAGCAGATCACGAAATAAATGACACACAAAAGGCCGCAGCACTTGAGCTAGGGTATGAAGCGAACAATGACAAGCATGAACGCACAATATCTGTCTGCCTCTCAGCCGATGCCACGCTAGTGGCTGAAATGTCTAGCGACCTCACTATCAGGATCTGGGACCATGACACTCGTCATGTTCAGCAAACCTTGGACTGTGAAGAAGAGAGTTGTCGGACCTCAGATCTTATGGTCTTCTCGCCGAACAAGCTGTTGCTCGCGTTGGCATACGAGGAAAAACTGAAAATTTGGGACATTCCTACTGCCAAATATATTGCGAACTTCGAAATACCGAGACACGTCTACTCGAGGAGATCTGGTTTTTGCTTCTCGAATGACAACGAGATCATGGCTTGGACCTGCCGGGGAGCGCCTCCTGTCATTTTGAAATGGCGGGAAGGAAAGAACTTTTTACCTTTCAAGCTTCAATCAAACAATTACAAATCCCTTCCATACGGTAAAGGAAAGCTAGTGTTTTCCAAAGACAATAATCTTCTCATAACTGCCGACAACCGAGGACGAGCTGTCATTTGGGACATCTCGAAGATGACTTTTCTCGGAATTATTTACAGGAACGACAACGTCCTGAGCACCGCCGGACTCTCCAGTCAAGAAGCATTCAAAGATCTCACCACAACAAACGGAACGATAAAAATCGACCTTGCATCCCTGAGGTCGATCATAGACATTCCATCACTTGGGTACTCCAATAACTGGATTCAAAGAGACAACGTCGCTATTCTGTGGATCCTATTCGAATACAGACCACCTGATTCGAATCGAGCAGTTGCTATTAATTCCTTAAAAGGTCTCATCTACATTGGTGCCGAATCGGACAGGGTCTGGTCTTTACAGTTGTCGCTCCCCGAGCTTGACCAACTTGTTGAGAAATATTCCTGGTACTCTAAACAGAACAACAACAGCGCGTCTATCATCTCTTCAGAGTCAGACGCCTCAGGAGATCGATGATCGAGTTACCGTCTTTCTCATAATACAATCAACCTTGCGAAGGAACCATCAACGGTCTGAGGATTGGCTTAAGCTGTCGTTCACCAAGCAAAAGAGGTCACGATGAACCTCACACTGCTTCTTTCCAATACAATCCGGGAATCACACAGACTAGAATGGCGAATCTGTCGGAGACATCTTATTCACGTTCTCAGCAACATGCAAGCTCATGCTACCATTCTCAATAATGCAAATGCTTTTCCATGTCCTCTACTGCCCACCGTTACTCATACACCGGTCCTTAGTAGCGCTCCCTCATACCAGGACACCAATATGTCCCGCAAAAGACCACCTAACCCTCGGCCTCGTAGGCGTTCGACTTGTGCTTCGGTTGGAAGGTAAAACCCGGGTGGCAAGGGCCAAGGTACATTTCACTGCAAGCAAAAGTCAGCATGATCCTCAAGACAAAGCCGCATCTCACAAGAATCCTACCTGATCTTGATCCAATCCTTATAGTTGTTGCTCGCAAGCAGGGTCTCCATCTCATTCCGTCCCCGGAACGCGGGCGGCCGGTCGTTGAGCGAAGGAGGTAGGTGCTCCAATATGCCGAGCGGGACGTAGCGGTGCGTGAAGCTCATCCACTCGAGTAGGAAGCGTCTGGTGAAGCCGATGCCGAGCTCGTCGGAGCCCCAGGCTTCGAGACCGTAGCGTACAAACTTTTCGATGTAGCCGAGGCGCTCGGTGGCCGTCTTGTCGAGGTACTGGCCCTTTTCGATCTCCTCGAAGAGCCAGGCTTGACGAGGGCGCCACGGCCCGATCATGACGCTGTCACGCCGGCGTTGTCGATGTGGTCAAAGTACTCGACGTGTGAGTAGCAGTCACCGTTGCCGAGGAAGTACATCTTGCCGTCCTTGGAGTTGGGCAGAGTCGAGGCATCGGGCTCGCGAATCGTGTCAGTGTCGGCGTCCTTTGTATCGTTATAGCTCTTGATCAGGGCAGCACACTCGGCGACGTAGCTCCAGTCAGCCCTGCGCGTGTAGCGCTGCTCGCGGCTGCGGCCATGGAGGGTGATGGCGGCACAGCCAGGTGCGCCAAGGCGCTCGCGGTGCTCGCGAGCGCCAAATGCGAGCTTGTTGATGATGGACGTGGCAGTAGGGCGGTTGTTGCGGACACCAGTGCGAATTTTGACGGTGACGGGAATTTCGCCCGAAACGGTGTTCATGCCGCGAACCATGCGCTCGAGCTTGCCGTGAGCCTCCAGGAGGGCAGAGCCACCACCGGCCTTGAATAGCATGTCGATTGGGCAGCCGCAGTTGAGGTCAATGACACGCAGGTGAGGGACGAAACGCTTGAGGCACTCGGCAGCCTTCACAGCAACCCAGGGCTGGTTGGCGGAGATTTGAGCGCCGAACTTGATATCCTTGGCGTTATCGTAGCCCTGGACAATGGGACCGCCAGCTTTGGGCGGGACGAGCTCAGACTCGTGGGCCTTGAGGAGCGTCCAGTCAGCCTTGGTGCCCTGAATGAGGGGCAGGCCCATGGCCATCTCAGAGTAGGTCAGCTCAGCGCCGAGCTCCACGGCGAGACGCCGGAACGGGAGGTTGCCCTGCGTGGTGAGGGGCGCCAGGGCGGGCGTATCGCGTCCAAAGTACAGCTTGCGCTTCTCAGAGGGCTTCAATGGTGCCTC